GAGAGAGTATATATTGTACGTTTGGGCTGCCTAATACCAACCAACAAAGTTGAAAACTGGAGCCGGATAAAGCGCTGACATTATGTGTTTCTGGTCAATTATTTTGTCAGATCAAATAACAATGGCGCGAGGGGACTCTGGCAGTGGCAGACGCAAAGGTTGGCCCGTGATCGTCTAACACTTGTTTGGATGCGCATGTATTCGTTTAAATCACATATGTTGAAGTTGATTGGAGTGAATTTAAACTAAATTCTATTTCATTCCACTCCAACACATTTAGATTGAAGTAGATACACATTCATCAAATAAGGCCTAATGGTTTGTGGAAAGCAGCAACCGGCAAGAATTGATGGGCGTGCATATTGTTTAAGAAGGACTTTGACAAATGCTGCTCAAAAGGTCAAAGCAGTTTGAGAGAGATTTGGCATGGCAGAGACAACCGGCCAAGGGGGGGACACCTTTGTCAAGGCTAACCAGTTCTGATCTGTCAATCCTTTGTTATATGGTTTTGCGAAAATTGTGAATGTAAAGCATCGTGACTGACTACAGCGCAGTTTATGTATATATGTGCGCAAGTGCAGCAACCCAGACCCAGAGTTTTTTAATTCAAGCGAAATATATAAGCAGCGTCCTAAATTCAACTTCTTCGAGAAGGATCGCATGTACTTTCTGACGTCAAGAGTTCTTTTTTTTCCCATGGAGAAGTAGCAGTTGATGAGGACTTGAGACACAACTTGTTGACTCCAAAATCTGAACAACAGGTGGATTTCAAATTCAAAGCAAACCTAACCGTGAGTGAGGAGAAGAAAGGCAGCTGGACACTCCGGAACAGAAACGCTAAATCACTATATTCGAAAAGAAATTGTTCAAAAACGTGGCCCTCTTTTTTGCCTGAATTTTGGAAAAAGATCATTGCTCCCCAATTCAAATCTCATTCAGCAGAGCCATACTACGCTACTACCCACTCTGTTTTCCCTCCCCAAAAGAGTTTCTAGTCTAGTAATAAAATGGCTCAAAAGAAGTTGCAGGCGAGAAGAATCTCGAGGAAAGAACACACTGACGCACGCAACAAGCACCGAGAATCAGTGACCAACCTGTGCGTCCCTCTGGCGAGCTCGAGCAGCGCCCCGGCCGCGGCCACGCGCGCTCCCGCGGCGCCCCGCGCGTCAGCCAGCATGTCCAGGAGCGGCGGCACGACGCCGAGCTCGGGCAGGAGGCGCTTCGTCCGCTCGTCCGAGCGCGCCAGCCTCGCGACCTCCCCCGCGGCGTCCCGCCTCTCCTCCGCCGCCGCGCCGAAGCTGAGCCGCCTCACCGCGGCCCTCATCGACGCGGCGTCGTCGACCGCTACTGCCCCCATCCCCGCCACCACCACCACCAGTAAGGCCGGCTCGGTGGCGCCGGTGCATGCGCACGAACGCACGTAGCCGCTGCCGAGGTGGCCGGTGGTGGTGGTGGTGGTGTACGTTTTTGGTTTTTCGCGCGGGCAACGTAGCGCCGAGGTGGGCGCGCGGTTGGGTTGGGGTGGGTTAGGCTGTGTTTGGCTCGACACGGACGTTTTGTGGGGAAGTGCCCCCGGCGGCTGACGTGTGGAGCATAGGGTTTGTTTGAAGCACTTATATTCATCTTAATTTATATATGTTGGATTAGATTGGGTAAAAAATAATATAAATTTTACTTTAATTCACTCCAATATATATATAAATATGAGTGTATCCAAACGAGCCCGTAGAGGTTGGGTTCGGTTCGGTTCGTCCGTTCGGGCCTTGACGTGGTGGTACCGGTACCGCACCGTGACACCACCACCGGCACCGGCCGGGAAAGCTGCAAAAGTGGCGACGGCCGGCCGGCTTTGTGCTGTGTCGGGGGTGAGCCGCCTCGTGCTCGTGCCCTTTTCTTGTGATGACTTGTGAGCATGGCCGCCGCCGGCCAGCGTTATCACGTACGTAACGTACCCAGGGTACGTACATGCATGCAAAACCGATGTGTAGTACCGTGCTTCTCCCTCCGGGTACGTTGGGGAATCATGTCACTGTTCGTTTCGCTGAAAAAAAAGTTGAAATACTGTCCCGACTAATTTATTGTGAGAAAAAACATTGTTCGATTGAAAAGATAAGCTAAAAAGTACGGAAACAAGCGAACAAGGCCTATGGCGAGCTGTGCTTTTGACGAAAAACGATGTGAATACGCGCCTTTTTTTTTCCTGGCCTGAGATTTCCTAACCCGATCTTCTAAGAAGAATTATATCGTCGTTGCGATGACTGAATTGTGACATGAAAAACATGTCGGCTGCGTGCGTGGCCACATTTCCTTATGGTCGGCTTATTAGGCACTCTCTTCATCCTAAATTATAAGATTTCAAGAATTTTGGAGAGTTAAAACATCTCAAATTTGACAAAATTTATATGATAAGATAATAATATTTATGATACCAACTAAATATCATTAGGTTCTTCATTAATTATATTTTCATAGTATATTTATTTGATGTTATAAATATTTGTAATTATCTCTATAATTTTGGTTAAATTTGAGAGAATTTGACTCTCTAAAATTTTTGGAACGACCTATAATTTGTAACGGAGGGAGCATGAAACTACGTATGTACGGGTCCTTCTGCATACACGATGGTGATGTTACTCGTTAGGTATCGATGTACGAATTCAGTTTTGAGTAGCACTGCAACAGAATTTATTGCTGCTGCTCGATCAGCAAATTCAGTTCGAATGCAACCGTTTGATCTCAGGGCGTTTACGACGATGGTGCCATGGTAGCCATCTCAAGGCAAAGATGGTGAACGAAAATTAAGAAAAACTCTGGTGTCAAATGGCATGCTACAGCACTGACATACACTCTATTTTTACATATTTCAACCGCTTGATTTTCCAAGGGACCCACATCATCGGCTGAGTCTAATAAATATTTGGCTGAGCTTTGGCCGGCTAGCTGATACTCGCATGCTCATTGATTAATAAGCGCTGGTAGCCTGCATGGTGGGTCGGCTGGCTCGGACAGAAATGGTGGTGGTGGAGCATTATAAAAAAAAAAGCGTTAGAGATCCATTAGTGTAGTGGTGTGCTTGACAGTGACTAAGCTCAGGCCATTATCCCCTTGTTAGATAAGGGACGAGGTCTGAAATAAATTTTGTTATGATATAATAACTAGAAAGTTGGTTTGCTCAGATAGTACCAGTAGCTAGCCTTTATTATAATAACATCTAAATTTTTTACTTAAAATTATTTTAAAATAGTTCTTTATTTGTTTGTTGTAAATGTATTTTCTCTCTGCGCTTGCTCTGCATCATCGACACAAAAATCCAAAAGCTATTATCAACCAATCCATTAGCCCTCCTCTTGTATTTCTCTACTACTATTTTGTGATTATGCATTTTGTGCCCTTAACAAACCAAGGCATCCTTCAGTTCCTCTTGTTGAGCTCAATTTCTTGATAAAATCATTGTCCAAATCTCTCACCTATTGTACAGTTTTATCCCTCATGTAAATGCCTCCTGTAATTTTTTTCGAGAACGCGCATTAGCTCGTATTTCGTTAAGAAAAAGTTTGGAGAATACAAAGTCCAAAGAGCACACGGTGAGATGCCATAGCATCCCTGGAACGACGAAAGTAAAAGGAAAGGAAAACAACTGCGGCGGCGCACGGGGTTGTGATTTACATCGACCGTTTTGCGACTAAGCCGACTTGCTAAGCACTAGACTGTACTCGCAACGAAGAAGACCGACAGCGCCACGAAGGCACGAACCCTGCGCCAATCCACGCATCCGCCTCCTCGATGATGAGATGATGCAGCTGGTGCGGCAGAAGGGACGCTCCATCATGAGCGCAGAGTCGAAACTCTTGCGAGTGGCAGATGGTGCACTTACTCTCTTTTTTGTTGAGCTTGAGATAATCTCGTACTTATCTTTTGCTACCCTAATAAAACATTACAAGATTCATCACCCAAATGCTATTTATGTCTGCTATAGCCTTTGGTCTCGGTCCTGTCATTGTGCTATCATCAGTTGATGACCGAGCCACCGAGGCGAGCCGTGCGACGGTGTGAGGCTGCGAGGGTGGTGGCGGTGTGCTGGTGTTGAGCCGCTGAGGAAATGGCCCGTGCGTGGATCGCCATCGCAGGCCTCGCACGTGGTGGCCGCAGATGGAAACAGCAGTGGGCCGCTAGGGCGATGGATGGGTAGTTGGGCCGTAGTTGTGCGGACAGCGAGCCTTCGGCATTTTCCCATCGAGTGATCGGGTGTCGTTCTCGGCGGGGATTCAGCTGCCCCACGGACATATCCACCAAGTATTCGTTGTTGCGGCTCAATCCTGCTCCAATCAATCCATCAATCTGCTGCTAAGCCACGGGTGCATCCATCCAACGCTGACACCACCACCAATTGTCCAATTGTTAATCTCACCGTACGTACGTGACGTGACACGCGCAGAAAACGCACACTGCTTGCTTGCGTGGAGTAACCCAACCCCAGCGAACAATGGCACGCGGAAAAGCGGCCCAAGGCCGGCGGTCCGCGCCGCGCTGTGCGTGTATGATGCATCCGGCACGGACGGCGTGGGCATCGGCATTCGGCAACGCCACGCCGCGACGGCAAGGCAGCTCAAGAGCTCTGCTGCAGTTTGGTCGCTGCCGCGCACCGTGCACGGCGGCGCCCGCGGTCTCGAGATCGGCACGAGCAGCGCGGGGGGACGCTAAAAAAGGACGCCGCCTGCGCCACGCCGCGCAACCCGCCAAAACCTCGTAGGTCCGCCGCGCACGTGAGCGGCGAACGGCCTGGGCAGCTACCAGCTAGCCCCGGCGTCGCATCACAGCCGACGACGGCGCATCACACGGCTGGCTTAGCCGTAGGGATTAGCCCTGACACGTCCGCCCTCATCAGTCACACACGACAGTCCCCACCCCCCACCAACCGCTCGCCAGTCGCCACCCGCCTCGCCGTCCTTGGCTTGCTCGCTCGCGCAGCTGTCCTGCACTGCACTGCACCCGGCTACATGGCGGCCTCCACCCTCGCGTTCGGGCACCCCAAAACCCTAGCCGCCGCCGCATCCGCCGCCGGTGCCAAGACCCTCCCGACCTCCTCGTCCGTCTCCTTCCCGGCCACCCAGCAGCCCGCGTGCCTCCTCTCCTCGTCCTCCGCGTCCGGGGCCCGCCGCCGGGACGTCGCCGCCATGGTCTCCGCGCCGCCGGCCGTCGGCACCGCCATGCCGTCGCTCGACTTCGACACCTCCGTCTTCAACAAGGAGAAGGTCTCCCTCGCCGGCCACGAGGAGGTGCGCCGCTCTCCCCACTCACCCACCGCCGTCCCCCTTTCGCTACTCCGTGGATGGATGGATGAATAATCTCTCCGCCGTTTCGGTTCGATTTGATTTGTTTGGTCTCTGACTGGTTTTCGTGGCGCAGTACATCGTGCGCGGCGGGAGGAACCTGTTCCCGCTGCTCCCGGAGGCGTTCAAGGGGGTCAAGCAGATCGGAGTCATTGGATGGGGCTCGCAGGTTCGACACACATGCCCCCCACACTTCCTCTTCCGCTGTCATGTAGACGGTCGGTTGTGTATGTGCAGCATATGTAAGCTGTGATTAAGTACTGAGCGACTGTCCTTAAATCGGCACATCAGTGTTGTTACATCTAGTAGATGGCATCGATTCTCATGGATTTCTACTGCTGTTTGGGTTCAGGGCTCACATGCCGCTGTTCCTTTTGCAGGGTCCTGCCCAAGCTCAGAATCTGAGAGATTCACTGGCTGAAGCAAAGTCAGACATTGTTGTGAAGGTTAGTTCTTCTCTGGTGGGACTAATATATCTTAGGCTTAGCACTGATACATGGGAAAACCACATGGACTGAAAGATCTGTACTTTTTTCGACCCAAAGAAAAAACAAAACAAGACCTATACTTTGCTTCAGGGGAAAATCTAATTTTATTTTTCCTCTGGCCTATTTTCTTTGAATTTTTAACTTCAATTGGAGAGTGTTACAATTCTTTATTGTGTGCAACTTGGACATGGCAATCATGAGCCAGATATTCTGCCTTCTGCTTTCAGATTGGTCTCCGGAAAGGATCCAAATCTTTTGAGGAAGCACGTGCTGCTGGATTTACTGAAGAGAGTGGAACCTTGGGCGATATTTGGGAAACTGTCTCAGGCAGCGATCTTGTGTTGCTGCTGATATCTGATGCTGCACAGGTTTGCTCCATGTTCACTAGCTGCACGGTTTCATGTGCATTCTTTTGTATATGTATACTTCTGCCTGATGCTTGACTTGTGCCAAGTCTTCTACAAGAGGTTATTTTGTTCCCTGCTGGTTAGTTCAACCTTTATGTCGTTCTGTAGCACACCCATTCATCATTTCATTACGCTGATATGGTACTTAATTGTTACATCTTTGGTTTCATTCATCCTGAAAGTTGGATTTCACTTTCTGCAGGCTGACAACTATGAGAAGATCTTCTCTCACATGAAACCAAACAGTATCCTTGGTTTATCTCATGGATTTCTTCTGGGACATTTGCAATCACTTGGACTTGATTTCCCAAAGAACATCAGTGTGATTGCTGTATGCCCCAAGGGAATGGGTCCATCTGTTCGCAGGCTTTATGTTCAGGGCAAGGAAGTCAATGGTGCTGGCATCAACTCTAGCTTTGCTGTGCACCAGGTATGTTTGAAGCTTTGCTGTGCTCATCAATGTTTTATTTTTTATTTCTATTTGTTTGATCTATTGAAAACATATTTCAGATGCATTTGGTGACAGATGTGCTTTATACTTTTACTAGTGTTGTTTCATTGTGTAGGATGTTGATGGAAGGGCAACTGATGTTGCTCTAGCATGGTCAGTTGCGCTTGGCTCCCCCTTCACGTTTGCTACTACCTTAGAACAGGAGTACAAGAGCGATATCTTTGGAGAGCGAGGTGATCATACTGACCTGTTCATGGTGCCTCTAATAATTGTACTGCAAGTATGTAACTAACCATTTAACATACAGGCATTTTGTTGGGTGCTGTCCATGGTATTGTGGAGGCTCTGTTTAGGAGATACACAGAACAAGGAATGGATGAAGAGTCAGCCTACAAAAACACTGTCGAGGGCATCACTGGGATCATCTCGAAAACCATCTCAAAGAAGGTATGCGGTTGTTCATCCTTATGCCAACCATTGTTGGTCTTTGTTTATTAGATTGTGTTCTTAATTTCCTGGTTGGACCCCAGGGGATGCTTGAAGTGTACAACTCGTTGAGTGAGGAAGGCAAAAAGGAGTTCAACAAGGCTTACAGTGCATCGTTTTATCCGTGCATGGATATACTCTATGAATGCTATGAAGATGTGGCCTCTGGAAGTGAAATCCGGAGCGTGGTGTTGGCTGGGCGGAGGTTTTACGTGAGTTCTGTTACATTAAACCATTATCTCTGATGTTGGTCGTGCTCATGGTTAAGCATACATTTTTACACAATTTAAAATAAAATAATTATTATGTGTTCATAGGAGAAAGAGGGCCTCCCAGCTTTTCCAATGGGCAACATCGACCAAACTCGCATGTGGAAGGTTGGTGAAAAGGTGCGCTCAACCCGTCCGGAAGGTGATCTTGGCCCGCTCCATGCCTTCACTGCTGGAGTGTACATTGCCCTCATGATGGCTCAGGTAAGGTTTTTCCACCTTCTCAAGCGACAACCGATCGAGATAACCCTCAATGTTGTCAGTGGAGCTTACCCTTACCTCGTTTGATGTTGTGCAATGGCTTCAGATTGAGATCCTGAGGAAGAAGGGGCACTCCTACTCCGAGATCATCAACGAGAGTGTGATCGAGTCGGTGGACTCGCTGAACCCGTTCATGCACGCCCGTGGGGTCGCCTTCATGGTGGACAACTGCTCCACGACGGCCCGCCTGGGATCCAGGAAGTGGGCGCCGCGCTTCGACTACATCCTGACGCAGCAGGCCTTCGTGACGGTGGACAAGGACGCCCCGATCAACCAGGACCTCATCAGCAACTTCCTGTCAGACCCTGTCCACGGCGCCATCGAGGTCTGCGCCGAGCTGAGGCCCACCGTTGACATCTCTGTGCCTGCCAACGCCGACTTTGTACGCCCGGAGCTCCGGCAGTCTTCCTAGATTGAGGCGGTGAGCAGAGAGAGGGAGGGAGAGGAAGAGAGGATTTCGTGTCCAGAGTTAGAACAGAGTGCTGTATGTTGTGCGACTGCTTGTAAGTGAGCTATCAGAGGACCTGAGAAAGCTTGGGCATCTGTTTTGGGAATAAAATGGGCCCTTCAATGGAATAGCTCGGGAGGGTATGTATCTTGCTCAATGCTCATCATGACCTTATCTTTTCTTTTTTTTTTTTTTGGTAAAGGCCGGGCATTTGTACTCCTACCTTGAATCACTCGAAATGTTGTCTAGGAAAGGACGAAGAGAGTATTATTAAGGCGCTCAAAATGGCCCACTTGTCACTGCGAACATAGGCCCATCTCTATAGGATTTGCCAACGGGCTCTCCATCATCGAAACTGCGGGGTGCGGCCCAACACTTGTAGCAGGTGGGATTTCCATTCCAATTTCCAACACCACGTACCCTCGCCCAGCCAGCGTAACGCGACCGGGTCAGACGGGACTGGAGTTTTTCTGATCCAATGTGCAAGTCTTGCCCGAAATTTGTAGGGATTTGTGCAAAAATTCGGAGGCCACGTGGTTTTCAGAACAAACCGCGGCAACTGCCTAGGTTCCAAAAAAAAAAACAATTATAGATCTGGCAAAGTTTAACTATTTAAATTTCGTTAGTTTTAAAGAAAATAACATCAACATTTATGACTCTAAATATATGTATCATAAAAAAATTAGTATAAAAAATATTAATATTCTATATATAATTTTTAGATAGTTTTTTAGTATTATTTTGTTCTTCTACAATTGTAGAACCTAAAGATAATAGTAGTTCCTTGTGCGCATGCGGCACTACTAGAAGTTGTGTGCCCGGAGGATTGGACCTCTTTGGAGTAGAAAAGCTGTTGCAAGCTTTTACCTAATCAACAGCAGCTGCATGTTCTCAACTCTGAAAGTCTCAAGACGTAGGCGCATCTCACTAGTGCGTTAGCAAGGCTTCGGTGGTTATACGCAGTTTGTTGGGGTCGGTTGGGAAGCAGGCAAGTAGCGTTCGGTGGCCTCTAGTTTGGGAAACGTCCTTTACATTTTGGTTCCTATGTAAACCATGGTCCAACATTTTTTAAATAAAAATAAAAATTGCTTGCTGAACTGTAATCATCTCTCTCTCTCTCTCTCTCTCTCTCTCTCTCTCTCTGACGAGGAATGCAGAACTGTGATCTGGAAGGCAACTATGGTCCTATACATTTAAATTACCAATATATGTTATTTGAATAATTAATTACGGGTATATAAATATGTGTTTATAAATAATCTACCATCAACAACATTAGAAACCTAACTTAGATATATAATTTATAAAGTTCTGCAATTATGAAACATATTTATTTTACAAATCCCATGTGAGTGACACATAAAACTCATTTTTAAATTATATTAGCACCCATGATAATAAATTATGTAAGTTTTATCTTTAAATAAAGGTATATACTTTATCTAAGACGCTACACCATATCTACATTCATAGTTTAATTTTAAACACCTTGTTTTTTATTAAATATATACTACTACAAACATAGTTTTTTTTTTTGAAACAGGAAGGGGCAGACTAACACAACAATTTATAACGCTATAACAACTAAGGGTGCAATTTATGACCTAGAATCAGTTTTAAAACAAAATACAACAGGAAAGTTCTGAATAAAACATAAGTTGGAAATAATATTTTTAACTTAACATGTGAATAAAAAATATAACAACTAATGAGATCAAGATTTAAGATCCCAATTGTAGATTCACAATGTTACGGCAACATGGGTTGCTGCAATTGAGAAACATATAGGTTATGCTAAAGTTTCAACAAATTCAGTATTTTAAACACATAAGGCTTCCTTTTGGAATGCAAGATTTTAGAAATGCGGAATATGAAAAACATAGGAATAGAATGCCCTAACGTTTTAAATCCTATGGATTGAGAAGACACGTGAAATTCGATGATATATATATATATATATATATATATATATATATATATATATATATATATATATATATATATATATATATATATAAATGAAACTTTTCACTTCATAAAATCCCTCCAAAATTCATATGAAACGAGACATTCCATAGGATTTGTAGCAACCTAGTCATTTGTTCTGAGGGATTCATAGGAAATTCCTCTATGTTTTTCCAAAGGGAGCCTAAAGGTACAATGCAAAGGGAAAAACTATAATTATGGATAGAATGATATATAGAGTAATAAGTAAGTTTACTACAACCAGATAGAGTTTAAAGAATATCCATATCAGTATCACGTAGAAAATCAAAAGATAGATGTTAACCGACTTTGATAAGTTGTGAGCAATAAATTCATCAACAAACTTGTATACTTACATATCCTTGGATTCTAAATTCTAGCTTGTGCAAAAGGGCGACTAGTAAAATAAAATTCAAATTCAAGCACCAAGTAAAAAGTTCTTTTTTGTTCGAAACAAAACAAAAGAGAAGGAAGAATCACTAGAGTGTTAAATAGCATTCAAACCCTATCACGTTTTCTCACGCTAATGTAATGGTTCGATTATACATTGCACGTTTAAAAAAAAAATTTAACCATATGGAGCCAGAGCTACATTGAGCTTTACTCTAGAACTAGTACCATTTTAAAATTAACTTAAACATGGAGCCGCTGCCGGAGCTACATATATATCCATATACTTCAAAAACCATGCAATGGCATTGTACTAACGGCCCCTCGGAGTTGACGAACTAACGGCAAATTCAAAAATCTGCGACGCCGAAAATAATCGATCGACGCGCAGGTCCGAGTCCGAGGGCCGAGGGCGTGTCCCATTGCAATGCAACACCGCGCGCTCTATTCCGAAACCAACGGCGAGTCCAAGCTGAACATGGCTCCACGCTCTTGCGACCTTCCCACCCGTCTCCCCCCATATATGCGTGCCCAGCCACCACCAATGCAAGCACAACCAACAGCTGGCAAAAAACAGACGAAGTCGATCGATCTCAGCTAGTAGCTAGCAAGTAAGACACACCACCAAGCAGCTAGGTAGCTAGCCATGGCGGCGGAGAAGGAGGGCGCGGTGGTGACCAAGGGGCACGACGAGGGGACGAAGGCGGCGGCGGCGCTGCTGGAGGAGTTCGGCCTCCCGCTGGGGTTGCTGCCGCTGGAGGACGTGACGGAGGTGGGGTTCGTGCGGGACACCGGCTACTTCTGGCTGGCGCAGCGCAAGAAGGTGGAGCACCGATTCCAGAAGATCGGCAAGCAGGTGAGCTACGACGTCGAGATCGCCGGCTACATCCAGCCCAAGGGCATCAAGAAGCTCAAGGGGGTCAAGGCCAAGGAGCTCATGCTCTGGCCCCCCATCAACGAGATGGCCGTCGACGACCCGCCCACCGGCAAGATCCACTTCAAGAGCCTCGCCGGCGTCACCAAGACCTTCCCCGTTGACGCCTTCGCCGCCGGCGAGTAGCCATGCATCCATATATATATCGATCTTATATTTATTATAATACACCACTATATATAGCGCATATACTATTAAATAATCTTGATGTGTTACCAATATGGCTGCATATGTTACGATGAGCTGCTTATGTATACTCCTACCTGCTGATCCTGATGATGGATAAACTCTAGTTTTTCCTAGAAATATGATGAAATAAAGCTAAATAAAAGCAAAATGCTATGCTTTTTCATACACTACTAGTACCATGCATGTTGATCGGGTCATACTTCCTCTGTCCCTCCATAAATTATTTTCTAAAGTTGTCTTAAATCAATTTTTTATGTTAGACCAAATGTAAGGGCGTAAATGCATATGACACTAGATGATCACATTATAAAAGTATTTTATGGTGTATCTAATGAGTATTTGCATTGGTTTTATAAATCGTGACGCTCTTCTCAATAAATTCGGTAAAACTTAAATAAAGATTGACTTGACAGCTCTAGGGATTTTTTTTCACACAAACAGAGGGAGTACATATATGAACGATGACCTTGAATGTATTTATCGTTTAGGTTCTGGAAGATCAAAATTAGTTAGGCGATGAAACAATAGCAAATCAGAGAAAATTAGGGCCTATTTACGACCGCTCCAGCTCCGAGAAAATAGATCTGGAGCACCAGATCTATCGCGGATATGAGCTTCAACAAAACTCCTGGGGACAGATCAAGCTCCAAATCTCCAATATGGATTCATATGTAATAATTATAAAAAAATATCCAAGGACGAAGTGAAAAAGCAGCACAAGGAGGAGCCGGGCGTGGCCACGCCTAGCTCGTGGTGTCCGGGGACGAGCGTGGTCCAGCGGCATCGTGGGAGAAGAAACATTGTGTGTGTGTGTGTGGGGGGAATAGAACTAATCGATACAAAGGGGTGGGAGGTGTGTAATCAGTAGCAGTGATGGATAGTTTTTCCAAACTCCACAAAACACAATTTTTCAAACCACCCCTTGAGGAGCCATAGGAAATCTATGGATTTGAGGCTTGATCCATGTTTTGGTGGATCTCGCTGCCGAAACTAGGAGTGAAGCTAATTTTTGCATATCTGAAGCTGGTGGAGCTGTCCCGAACAGCGCCTTAGAGAAGAGGCGAAGAGCCGACCGAAATAAGCAATACGGCAAAAAATTTGAACGTAGGACAAGCACGCGTCAGCCTTTTCATCTCTTCAACGTTGGCAACAGGATACCGCTGTGTGAGGTTGTGCGATGCGGTAGTACTCTACGTAGTGAATTAGACTTGGGGGCAACTAATGCAAGGATAACATAGCTAGTCTCCCTCGTTTACTGGACAAAACAAATGCAATAATGGATAAGAGTTCATCACGCAACAGGCAACAATGAACGACAAGATCGATGTGTCTGACCTTTCTGGTTCGATTTTAATTTGATGCAGTTTCTGGTCAGTTTTCTCAACTGCTTGCTACTAGCTACGGAGTAGTAGCCAGCTCCATTGATGTGATGTGATTCTATAGCTATGCCAGGGTGAAGGGTGAA